TACAGACCCCAGTGCACACGTACAGACCCCAGTGCACACACACAGACCCCAGTGCACACATACAGACCCCAGTGCACACACGCAGATCCCCACCCTGCATTTGGACTCCTGCAGAGTGCTGAGGTGACTTCCCACATGTGACCTGGACTAGTGGCCCTGGGGGAGGTATAAAAAAGGGACAGTTGCTTTCAGTGCTGGCTACTCCGGCCCCTGTGGGAGCCCAACCTACACTGCAGGGTAGTGTTTTCCTCTCCTTTACTCAAACCAGATTCACTGCAGAGCCCGATTTTTCTCTTACCCTTCTGCCTCCTTCCTGTCGTGAATGAACGTGGACCTTGCCACTTTTTGTGTGCTGCTTTGTGTACAGCTGCGGCAGCCCAGGTTCCAGGAACAGAGTGGCAGACCTCGGCTTGCATTCACAGACCAGGGTGTCGCGCACTCCCTGCAGGTCTCTCTCTGTTGGTCACACCTGACTGCAGATGGGGTCACAAGTGCGATTTACGCCTGGTCTTAGCCAAAGGCTGAGGAGGCTGTGGCACTTAGTAAGTGATAGGCGTTTTTCAGGTGAATGGCGCAGCAGAGAGACAGAAGAAAAAAGGGAAAGGGGCTTTATTTTCTTTGAGGACGCGGAGAATTTAGGGAGGTCAAGGAATGCCCTGGACTGGAGAGAGGGAGGCTGCAGCTTTTATGGCCCTTTGTCAGGGGTGGAGCTTGGAGGGATGCTTAGATACACCTGAGGAGCTGAGTGGGGTCTCCCCTGAGGCGGCAGGAAGGGCAAACGTAAGTTATGTCCTGGGCTGAGTTGGAGAAGGGGGAGGTGGTCCTGCGAGCACAGGCCTTTGTTCTAAGGGCAGCAGCCCTATTAGATGACCATCTCAGTGATTTTAGCGAGTCACACTAGGGCCCGAACCTGTCGGCAAGGAGAGCATTTATCCAGCTCCTGCTTGGATTTTCAGGGAGAAACGCGCTCTGGTCTCCCACGGACACCTGCGCCTCCAGCCACTCCCCACGCCGAGTCCTCGGGCTCTGTGTCCTGGAGCAGGGCTCGGCAAGCCCTGCCTGTGAAGAGCCAGGTACTAGGCGCTTTAGCCTCTGGCTGGCGCGTGTCGTCTCTGTCACATGTTCTTTTCTATCCTACCCTTTAAAACTATAAAAACTGTTCTTCATCAGAAACAATCCATAAACAATTGACAGGGGCCAGACGTGGCTCTGTAGGGTATAGCTTACCAACCCTCTTTAATCTTACTTATGAGCAACATGTAATTTTATTTATTTATTTTTTGAAATGTGGTCTTACTCTGCAGTTCAGACTGTCTTGGAACTATGTAGCCCAAGCTGGTCTCACACTCACACCTCTCCTCCTGCCTCAGCCTCCAGAGTGCTGGGATTACAGGAATGCCATCATGCCTGGCAACAGCATGTAATTTAATGCTAATATGTTTTGTCTACGTTTTGTGTTTTAGTGCAGTAGTCTTCATTATTTCTACTGTGATTTCAAATACATTCAATTCTATTTTCTAGTATGGACAATTTTCTTATACTTACTGGCATTTTCTCATATTTCCTCCTTATTTTTATTTGCCTTGTTTTTGATTAAATATTTGTTTAATTTTTAAAAGCGGTGTCTTTGTTACTCTTCTCTTGTTGCTGGGACAAATACTGACACTCAAAATCAGAGAAGGAAAGCTTATCTAGGCCACAATCCGTGGAGGTTTCAGCGCGTCCTCAGCTGGCTCCAAGGTGGAGCGGCAGAGGGCAGTTTGGCTGCGGCCGCAGCGAGAGCAGAGGGCGGGGCTGCAGCTCAGCGGCCGGCCGGGTCTCTCTCCACTCCTTCCCTGTGGTGCAAATCACCTGCCTGAGGGCGGAGAGAACCCCATCGGCAATGATCAGTCACAGGGCCTGCCTAGCTCAGCGGACTAAAGCACCTGCTTAGGCAGACGCAGTGGGCGGGGTTCCATCCGGGTGCCATGCTGGCCCTGCCCCTGGGGTGCCCTGAGAAGGGACAGAGACTGGGCGTGGTGGCACACACTTGTAATTCCAGCTCTTGGGAGGCTGACCACTGGAGAAGCACTAGGAATCCAAGCTATGTAGTGAGACCCTGTAGACCCTTACTTAAAAAAAAAATTAGTTACATACTCCAGGAGCCACCCCATGACTGCATGAGGTTTTGGGGGGACAACTAGACACAAACCATAACAAATGGATGTGTGTTTGAAAATTATATTCTTTATGTTAACTATTTACTTATTATTCTAGCTAGTTTTAGTATGCATGTTTTGTAATTTCCAAAGGTGAAGAAAAAAATTTTTTTTAATTTTACGTATTTATTACAGGGTCTACAGGGTCTCACTACATAGATCGGTCTCTAGTGATTCTCCTGTTCTTCAGCCTCCCAAGCACTGGGACAGGCCTGTGTTACTATGTCCAGTCTCAGTCACCATCTCAGCAGCCCCGGGGCAGCCGGCACAGCCTGCCAAGGGGTGAAACCCTGGGCCCTCCATCTGCTTAAGCAGGGGCTTTCATCAGCTGAGCTATCTGGCCAGCCCAAGGAAAAATATTTTTACTCCCTCCCCTGCCAAATAATTCTAAACCTGATTATCCTCTCTAAAATTCTATGCCTTCTTGTTTAATATTCTTATTCTAGCTTGTATTTCTTTTCTTTTAGAGAGAGGGTCTCGCTGTATAGTGTAGTCTGGTCTTGCACACACCAGGGAGGGCAGGCTGGCCTGCGGTACACCGAGGGAGCGCAGGCCGGCCTCGCATGCACCGAGGGAGCGCAGGCCGGCCTCGCATGCACCGAGGGAGCGCAG